ATTTCTCAAAGATTAGTAGGAAAAAAAGTCCTCTGAAATTGTTTTATATGAGTATGGAGAAGGAAGGGCGGAGGCGGTGTAGTGGCAAGTGGCGCACTAACTCACACGTACGGTCAGAGGGTCGAATCCCGGATCGATGCCCGCCTAGGCCAACCAAGCCCTCCATCCCATCGGGGTCGGGTAATTGGTACCATACTTGTCTGGGAGGATAAAAGCACTGACTTGTACATCGACTGACCACCGCAAGCCATTGTATAGGCCACATACGCACTCATTGCGCTACTACGATTCTGAATGGAAGTCGAGTGCGGGGGCGCATCCTTCAGACGGGATTGATTAACGCCAAAAACTTTAAACCTTGAACTTTAAGTTTTATGGAGAAGGTAGTGCCCTCCTAATAATGTGATGTGAGGTGGGTAAATGGTAAGAGGTGAGTAAGTGGTAGTACTACGTGCATGGTGCGGATCTCGAATCTTCTATTGATGACGTTATCATAGTAATGATAATAGTGGTAATGTTATCAATAATAGTAGACATCACTGCACGTGTGTGCTAAAAATATGTGGTAGATTCGTCATAAGGATCAGTGATGAATCTATTACCTATATTTACTATATAACTGCACCCTTACCTATTTACTCCGGAAAGAGGAAACGAGGCTGAGGCGGGGAAACCTCAAGAGGGCAATACGGTCCAGGGAAACAGAGGATATTTGGCTGACTCAGTTTCTGACGAAGCAGTCGTTCATAGGCTGAAAGGGCATCTGCATGTGACGCTGACAATGTGGTGAACAGATGACATCAGCTGTTCTTTTCCATACCGCTTTCTTGTTTATTAAAAACTACTTGCAAAAGTTCATTCTTTTTTACTTACAAAAAAACCAGTATTCAAGTTGTTCATCTCTATGCTGTGCATTTGCAAAACAAATGTCAAAATCGTCTGGCTACTTTTAATGACCCTAATCCATTATGTGGGAGCTATTTATAAATACGAAGATCATGAATGGTGCATGATGTCATGGTGCAAGAAGGGCTACAGGTCTTTCTACCTGTGATTCTTAATGGCAGTCCAACTCAATACAATGCCCCGAGTTCAGACTTCTTTGATGAGAATCTTAATCTCAAATTAGACAGAGCTCCTTCAGTCCCAGAATTCTCTTGTACCCGTTGATTAAGAGTCTTTCCAGAGACATATAGCAGCTCTCGGTGCCTCATATCAAGGAACAAGAAATTGCCTGAGGTCTCAAGAGCCACTGATCGGCGCGACCATCCGCTGTCAAAGTAACCAACTGGCCGGATCGTGAGCTTTTCTTTTTATCTATCCCTTCCGATCAACAGAATTTTCCTTTTTTTGGGGGCCATACCGCAATAATTTATAGCAATTTCAAGTTGTAAATGATTTTGAATGGGATCGATTATGTTCTGCCCATATATGCAATAGACTTTACCTCGCAAAAGTAGCCTCAGAATAGCCTCAGAATGCCTTTAGCCACCTTTTCGGAGGGTAGAGATAGGATAGTCCTTAAGTTATTTTTCTAGTTACCAGTTAGTATTCATTACATTAACAAAAAACACACGAAAAAAGACAAACCTCTCTGAGAAAAGATAAGGAGAGAACAATGGGACTATTCCAATGAGAACTTACCGCCCACATTCTGAATATCATAATGAAGAAGGAAAATGGGCACTGAGCTCAATCATACAATGGAGACCGGCTCTTCATGGAAACTCTTTGGGCGAAGAGTGATGTTTTTTCAAACTATGTGAGTCAAGTAGTAACACGAACTAAAGTTAAGTTAGTTTTTGTGTTGGGGTTTGTTCCTATCTTTCCATCCTGAACGTGCACTTCAGAATAATACTTAAGTATCTGTCTTGAGTGAAATAATGGAAGCTATAGTGCAGAAAAACGGCGGGGTGGATTTTACGGAATATGAGGCCCCAAAAAAGTAATAAGAAAGGTGGTCATACGGGATTGTATGTCTGTATTCGTCTGGGTGCCTCCCAAATAAGTGCAATATTCGTCGAGCTCCTGACGCTTCACTGTGAATGGTGGGGTCATAAAAAGACAGTCATAACACGGCCGCTTCTGGGTGTGTTCGTCGTCAAGCCAGTTTTGAGGCCCTTATATCGCCTTGCTGAGGTCGTTTATTGACCCGACAATGTCTCACGTACTACCCTTGGAGAACACAGGTTCCGTCCAGGAGCAAATCTTGGAAAGTGTTCCATCATGAACTGTGCCTTTAATAGAAGAGAAACAGCGTTCTGTTCAGGTGTGCACGACGTCCTGGCGGGAAAGTTCCGAAGCGCTATCCAGAAACTTTGAAACTCGCAGCATATGCAGAAATTGAATCACAGCTTGCCAGATCCGGTAAGTCAGATGAGTATACTTTGGTAGCAAGGACTTGTCGACCATCGAAACCATGTTATAAGGCTCTTGAGGAATTCTTTAGGCATCCAGAGACAAGCAAGGCCATTCTTGGCTGCTGGAAAAAAATTTTCGTCGTGCGTCATGAGCTGTATGGATCGTGGAGGAGGAAACTGTTTCAAGAAGTTAAAGTACATATCCCCAGCTCTACCAATATGTCTGGGGTGATTCAATAATCTAGTAATCTCCGGTTTTCAGTTGTGGTCTGGCCCTCCCACCAGATAACGTACTCGTCCAACAGACAAAACAATGTGCGCTCAGAAGTGGTCTCAATACTCCAGCTGTTCAGCAACTCTGTAGATGTTTGGCAGCTGCTGGTGCCAGGTCTGGAGAGATTTCAATTTCTGCTCACTTCGAATATGATAGACTTTTTCATATAATGAGAGGGTGAGGTGATGTAGCGACAAAAAAAAACAGATCAGTGTTTTCAAAGTATGTAGAAGAGTTGATAACAACAGCGATGATGCACGTGCTCAGGACTTAGGGCAGTCTCGCCACTGGGTTTTGAAAGGAAAGTGTATGAAGTACTTTCTCATAGTTTGACGGGAGGAGGTAAAAATAACGATAGAACCAGTACTTGTGATTGAAAACAGTCTATATTGGCTTCGTAAGTTCAGCGTTTGCTGCGCTCTGCTCAGGGTAAGGGGAAGGTTTATTTATTAGTTCGGGTTTTTCCTCTGAGAGGGTGACTATCAAAGGAATGGGAAAAATCTGTCGAGCATGTATGGTGACTTATAAGTTGACTTTTGAGTGGTGCCTTTTACAACTTAAAGAGATTGTATATCTTCTTTCAAGAGATAGATGAAGTGATACCCTGGTATCGAAGATTTATCCTTAAAGGCATTGTTCACGAAAAAGTGGTTTCGGAGATTTGCACATGGTTTGAATTCGAAGCCCCCTCTGATACCATTTGTGCAGGAATGAGGTCGGAAAACGGCTGGATAGGGCACAATAAGGGCAGGAACAGTGGGGGACGGGAAGCCTCCGCCCCTCGCTAGGCTGACTACGAGTTCTAATTGTCCTTCACCACATTCGCACTGGAGCGAAGTTGGTGGAAAATCGATAAGCTGGTTGGCAAATTGCCAGGTTTAAGACTGTAGTCTAAATCAGCTGTTTGGGTGTGTTGTCTGTATTGCAGACATTGCGCGCCTTCGTGCATTCTCGCTCGAACACTCCCTAACCGCCGTTTTCTCAATGTGAAACTCGTCCAATCCCCCTTTCCAGCTCTTTTTTTGACTCTTTGTAATGCTTTTTGTTCATCGTTTTTTGCGCTTTTTTCGTTGTTATCGCTTTATTCTAGCGTAGTTCTATCATTTCCCGTCAAAAAAGGTACCCTAACTCTCTTGTGAACGGTGCCTTTAATATCGACAATTACCCTTTTTCGAGCGAAACGCAGATCCAACAGTCGAATAACGACGGGACTGACTTTCTTGGAATTTGCGTTAATTCAGGACCCATCTGGGAAGCAGTGTAGTTGAGTGTTACCCCCTCCCCCAACTTCCCCATGATGGCTACAGTGACAATATGTAGTGTGCACGAATCTTGATCTAATGTCAACCCCCTTCTAACTGACCCTACGTCTACGTCAGAGGTAGAAGTAGAATGCCTGCAATCATACTACTGAGATCTTCAGATGGGTGAATTGTTTCGTATCGAAGTAGATGAGTATTATATAAAAATTAGTACAGGGCTGTTTCTATATACCCTTTTGACTGGGCATGGGTCCAGCTATACTTTCGTATGGTTGAGTAACTCGTTTCAACCGCTACTCAACCATAAGGAAGTCAGGCTGAACCCATGTCCAATCAAAAAGCCACCCGACTTCAAACGGTGATAGAATACTAATACTGAATTGCCAATGGAGGTTTGAGAGCTGTGGGTTTCATTTCTCATGTTCATTTTAATCGTTTCTTTACAGAGGCCTCAATTCAATCTGTGGAAAAATCCGAATCTCCTAAACAATGGTGCTGACTTGAGCTCAACAGCCACTAATACTACTAGTAATATTTATTTAACTGTAGATTAAATGTGAATTGCTTATAATAATAAAGTTTGACGCCCTACTTCAATATTCTACAAGTTAAACTATCGAGTCCGAAGCTCGAGTTCTTCCTTTCTGAGCGGGAGAAGGAGCTCTCTTCCAGTAACCACTATGAAATACTGTGACGAACCAGAAAAAAAACTTTTTGTGAACACTTATTGCTACAAAACCATGATTACTCGTTCGGCTTATCTTCTTTGGCTATCATTTTTGCGGAGTCCTAGCGGTGGCTTGCCTCTAAAGGAGTCCTTTAGTTCTTTCTTAAAATTGCTACTGTTTTGAAAGGCCTTCATTATCTGGGAGAATTGTTTCCCTAATGCCGCTCTTATCTTTGTAGGACGAATTTCTTCCATTCCGAAAACCGAATTGAAGTTGGAGAGATCGAGAAACAAAATAGAACCGCACACTGAAGGGAGGAGCAATTCATGTTCCACAATTCGGAACTCATTATGGGAAGTATTGGAGCACACACGTTTTTGGGGAAAACTCCTTATCGATCCGGGATTCGAGCCCCGAACCCCGCGTGTGTGACCGAGCGCCACTTGCCACTACACCACCACCGCATGCAATGGTTTAGGTATGATAGGTCCCCTAGCCAGAGGATGAAGTTCTCTTGCCCAAGCCTAACGCAAGAAGGAAACGCGAGAAAACGCGGTAAGGGCAGTTGATCCCAGTGATCCCCTGCCCCTCTAACTACAACTTTCCCTCAAGCAGCTCGTCAATTCGATATGAAACACTTGGCTCAATTCAGACCTCCAGAAGTCCCTGTAGGAATGTTTCATCAAACTTATTTCCTCACGGAGTTGAAGAAGTACTTGAATTGGTGTTCAGTTCAGATGATGACAGCTGGTAAGATAAGATTGAGATTCATTAGTTGACAAACAACAACTGCTGTGATCTATCGCTCACAATACGACACAAGAATGCAACAGGTTTGGCAGAGTAATTATCAA